TAAGCATGTGCTCTATCACTTAAGCTATACCCTCTCCCCTATAGTAAGTAAAAACAAAACCAGAAAACCTTCACCTGTTCCCCACTCTCCCTTTCAGAGATGATGACTATATTAGACTTCCGACATAAGTGTGTATGTGCACATAGAAATAGTTTTATTTATTCACTAATCTACCTATTTAACATAAAATAGTATTGTACTGTTTGTATTGTTCAACAATTTGATTTGGGGGGATTAAATATATGTTTTAAATGCCTTCTCATATCAGAATATAAAAGTCTGCCTCCTTTTCACCTGCTTAGTCTGAAGACGGCTGCAATGGGGGTGATTTCACTTTTCCCTGTCGATGGCAGACATCCAGGTGCTTCCCAGTGTTTTGCGATGACAGCGTTGCAGTGCATAGTCTTGTCTGTAACCCTTGCACCGCGCATACATGTTTCAGGAAAGCACTTTGAACTGGATTCTCTGGGTTCAGGACATGCATATTTAAAATTACAATGGCTATTGCCCCAAGTTTGCCTGCAAAAAGTACTAATTTACTCTCCCCCACACACAAGAGTACAAAAGCATGCATCCTGGCCAATATTACATTGCCAAGATACATACTGTCAATCTGATAGGTGAAAAGTGTTAACTCCTCGGGTTCCAGTCTTCATCTTCCTGATCACCAGTGATTCCAAACACCTTGCACTCTCTGTATTGGCTGGGTGTGTCTTCTTCTCAGTGAGGTGCTTGTTGCTAATCTTCTGTCAGTTCTCTTTTAGGTTGCTTGTCTTTTTATTGATTTGTGGGAGCTCCTCATCTATTGTGGACTTTGAAACACACATTGCCTCTTTCATACATCTCAGATATTTCCTCCAGCCCATCACTTGTCCTTTAAGATATCTTTTGAAATAGAGAAACTTTTAATTTTTATGTAAGCAAACTGTCAATCTGTCCATTTTTTTCTTTATGGTTTCTGCATTTTGGATTTTGCTTCAGAAGGTTTTCCCTGCCAGAAGGTCAGTTATAAACAGTTTTCCAGAC